CTTTTTCTCTGTGGAACTATCACAAACCCTTACTTTCATACTCAAGAATGTGAGTCTTGTATCATTTCTACAATTGTTTCAACGGAGGATGCCTTTGATAGTTTATAAACCCTCATGGAAGTATCATGAGATGTTGGGCACATTTTCTAGACAGGTGGAATGTTAGGGAGTTCTGGAAGCAATCTAAAAGGTCATGTAGAATAAAGATCCCACTTTATGCTTCCCTCAAAAGAAAACTGAAAATCATGGATATTTTAACTTTTTTGAAGGTGATGAAACGTCCAGGAATAGTATTTCCTAGTACAAGGCCCCTGGCCCAGGAATGCCTTCTTGGCTCCATCTAGTCTCCCTGTTACACATCATGGGAGTTGAGAAACACCACATATCCTCAAAATAAATAAGCCCTGTACATTTAACTGTTTTCCCATATTTTTCGAATGCTCCTATTCTTCCTGGACTGAACACCAATAATATCAATAGAGAAGCTTTCTGGGGCAATTCACTAAACTTGCAGGTCATGAACGATTGGTACAAGCTTTTTTACTCTTACATCGTCAGAAGGTCTTTGAAATTCAAACTTATTTATTCTAAAGTGATAGTCAAAGTAAAAAAAATTAAGTAGGCACGTGTGTTTTGTAGTCCTATTAATTCATCATACTGTAATCGTGGTGGTTATTTTGGGGATCTTTGCCACTTCACAACACTTTATGATGTCATTATTTACGGGCAATTCACTAAACTTGCAGGTCATGAACGATTGGTACAAGCTTTTTTACTCTTACATCGGCAGAAGGTCTTTGAAATTCAAACTTATTTATTCTAAAGTGATAGTCAAAGTAAAAAAAATTAAGTAGGCACGTGTGTTTTGTAGTCTTATTAATTCATCATACTGTAATCGTGGTGGTTATTTTGGGGATCTTTGCCACTTCACAACACTTTATGATGTCATTATTTACGATATTTGTCACAACTATGTTAGATAATTGATAACATCAGGGCCATATTTTTTCATGTGAACGTTGAAAAGCCTCCATCGTCAACAGAAATTTGGATAATGACCTTTTTTACATTAAAATACCTTACACATCAAGTTTTTCCTTATAAACTTCAGTATGTAAGTATTTAAATTAACTGAAGTTCAGATAAATAAGAAATAAGTTAAAATTGCTAAATAATATAAAAACCACATTTTACTTGTAATGTCCAAGCACTTTTCCCCAATTTTAAGATTTTAACTTCATGTAAATAGTTGAAGGAGAGGAAGAATACATTTGTAATAGTAATGTTCCTTCTAATAATTGTTTAAATAATGTTTTTATTTTAATTTATCTTCTATGCCTGCTTCCCTAGTTCATATTCTACATCCCGGTTGTCAGAAGAATGAATGGACTTAAATTTTCTAATCATTATTTTTGGCCAATTTTAGTGTTGATACAATGAACTTTCTCAATCTGTTTTCTGCTTGTATGATGATTTTAGATTTGGAGCATAAAATCGACCCTTTCTGTTGACACAGAATTGTGCATTGAATGGAGCAAAGTGTATAACCCTGTAGTTGTGCTAATGTTGAAATTTAAAAACTCAAATTCAGGCAAAAAAAAAAAGACTGAGATAATGTTTTAATTTTTTTTTTAAAGTCATGGAAGAATTTCTCTCAAAACATCTTCAGAAAGTTTTTATGGTGGTTCCAGATCATGAGCTACTTGACAGAAGAACTAAAAGACAAGAAAAATATGAAACAAACTGATAGTAGTGTCTTAATATTAAATATCAATTGGATATTAACATAATATGGGTCAATATGAAATCATAATTCGATTAATCAAATTCAGATTTACACATCTATTGTATAGTTCAAAAAACAATTCTTTACTCTTGTCAAAAATATGCATATCAATGGGTGGAGTGGGGGGAATGGACCTCCACATTTTGGTGAAGAACTAGAGTAGAATATGATTCTTCCCAGTTATAAGACACTCTATCATTATTTTAGTTATGCAGGGATTGCATAAATGACATCAACAAATCAGCTGCTCCCTGACAGTCGGAAAGCTAGGGTCATCTTTGCTGCAGATGACAGGAGAGCTCCCAGGACCTGCAGAGGCCCCCTCCACCCCAACCTTAACATACACACACACAAACACAAACATATACACACATTTCTGCCTTTTGACCCACTCTATTTGTTCCACTAAATTTACCTTTTTTTTTTTTTCTGGTAGATCTGCACAGAATTATCCCTTCTCGCAAAATCCTTATCCATATTAATCTCTAAAATATATGAAATTGTGTTATGTGTTTGCTTTCTGTAAATCTTTATTTAATTAATTTGTATATACTTTGTGAATTCATACTGTGCATTATCAAGGGATGTCATTTGTAGTTGATTAAACATAATTTTTATGATCATTTTGATAAAAATAACTTTGGCCCCTTGTTAAGGGTTGTTAAAACACCCTTCATAAATTTGCTTCTGTGGGAAAATATACGATCTGGCATACTTTATTTTTAGTTACAATTTATTCCAGATAAATAATAGTTTGGGGACATCTGTACTTAAATACTAGTTGAATCACTTTTTGGAATAAAATGTAAAGGAATAGCTGTTCCTGGAACATAAATGTGAGTTTCTGCTAGAACAGAAAATATTATAATAATGAGGCAATAATAAAATTAGAAAATTAAATTATTTTTAAATCTGTCTGTGTGATTTTTCCCCTGAGTAAAAATATGTGAAATACATAGTTGAAGAATTACCTTCTTCTGAATTCATAATTTTTATATCTCATTTCTTAATAGATAAACCTAATCTATTATCATCAATGTCTTATTCATAATTCTAAGAAATGCACAAATAGTATTGCTACAAGGAGGATAATTTATACTTGTGCTAAATTAAAGTTTGCTTCATCACTTAAAAAAATGTAAAGCAGTTTAAAAATACTACTTTACACCACGACTTTGCGAGATTGAGATTTTTGAACAACTTAATTGATGATTTTCCCACAAGTAATTTGCTATTGCTAGCACTGTAGAATTATATGATTTTCTTACATTTTTGTTATCATGTGATGAAATCTAACTATGTAATTAAACAGAATTCTGACAGTCATATTCTGCTAATCTTTAAAACGTTTACTTATTTCTTCACTTCTTAGCTCGCTATTTTCAAAATAAAGTAAAAAAGGCCCTTTATTAAATGTAAGCCTACTGAAAATTTATTATATATTTCCAGTGTTTTCCTAACTCCATCTTGTAATACAATTTAGTTTTTATTAGGTTGACTCTGGTTTAGTGGAATCATAGAATATTAATATTGAAAATGACATTAGAGATCAACATTTTTATTTTCTAGCGAAAAGATATCCAGAGAGTTTAAACGGCTTGCACAGTGTCACACGACCAGAGAATGCCTTTTCCTCCTGCACTCTGCTCACTCTCTAGTAACCAAAAAAATTATTGAAGATGAATATTTGATAGACAAAGATTTAACATAAAAAGTGAAGTACATGCAGTCATGACTACAGCACACTTATATTAACAAAGGCTTTCTTCATTACTCTCTATTTCATAATATAGTGGCCTTTGTCACTTGGATTTAGACCTATTTAGAAATAATGTTTACAAAATCTGCTTCTCAAACTTAATTTTTAAATATCAACTAGGCATTTCTTGTTGGTTTACTAGACTAATTTGTTGTGGCCATTTTTCCTTTCTAAGATTAAAGCTTTTAAAGAGCATGTAAAGTTTGCATCATATCAGAGAAACCGGAATGGGAAAGGGATCCTGCCCAGATGGAGCTGTCAGTAATGTTAAAATGTCCATCAATGCATAGGTCTGGCCAAAGACATGGGTTTCAAGAAAGCAATGAACAATGTATGGAATCTTTCAATTCTGTGCGGCTGGTCGAGGTTTGAAAAAGGCTCAGGAGTGGCCACGATGATGAAAACACCCATCCTTCTTTTTATTATTATTTTTTATTTATACTTATTTATGGGTACAGAGTTTACTACCACTATTTGTATACAGTGTGTGATGATCAAATCTATATCATTAGCATGTTCATCATTACAAATCATAATTACTTTTTGTGTCCCTCACTCACTCTGCATCCTCCCGCCACCTCCCTCTCTCCCACCTCTATTAACTGTAGGTCTGTTCTCTCCTTTTGAAAGTTCAACATATTATTATGGCCTTTATTTTAGCTCCCACTTATGAGTGAGGAGGTGTGGTATTTCTCTTTCTGTGCCTGGCTTATCTCACTTAACATAATTTTCTCCAAGTTCATCCATGTTGCTGTGAATGTCAGAATTTCATTTTTTAATGGCTGAGTAGTATTCTATTGTATAAATATTCCACATTTTCCTTCTCTAGTCATCCATTGATGGACATTTAAGGTAAAACACCTATTCTTTCTAAATGCTGAATGAAATACAGCTTATTCTGAATATAAATTTTTTGGTGCCACTTTCATGATATATTGGTGGTTTAGACTTCACGGATTTTCTTTCTCTTTTTGTCACTATTAAATTCATGGAGAGTATATTTACTTGGGAAAGTGTGTAAAGGTTTGTATTAGCTTAGAGATGACACTAAAGAAGATATTTAATAAATACTTGTCACAAGACATAGCCCCATAGCAATTACTCAGCTACGTTTGTAATGTACAAAAAAAGAAAACCTGCTATCTTTATTTCCAAGTTAGTCAAGAAATATATTAAACAAATTTATCCAATTTTCATATCCATATGGTGAATTATTAAAACAAATGTTTGAGCAAGCACTGGATAGCATATCTAAATATTCATGGAAATATGAATTATCCTAGTATCTAGGTATTTTAGGACAGGCTGCTGATGTCATAAGATCTCAAAGGCCAGGCAATTGCTAAGTACGTATTGAGTGCTTGCCACCTCCAAAACATGAGTAAGGGACATGCAGTATCCCCTGATCTGGGTTCTTGCCTACCTTTAATTCCTTTTGATAAGCATCAATGTCAGGAGGGAGTTCTGACAGCAAACGGTTACGTGGCTTTTCCATAGGAGACATGGAGGTGGCAGTAGTGAGGGAGAGAGGAAGGCAAGAGAGACCAAGCTCAGGAGCTTCCTCAAGTCCTTTCCCAAAGCTGTCCCTGAATTTCCCTCTTCCCCTCCATCTCCACCTCAGCCTCCTCCTCCTCTTCTTTCACTCTCTCTCTCCTCTCTCTCTCTCTGAATAGTTAGATTGCTTTTTTTATCACAGAAAATTATTAGACAGTATAGTCTACAGAACTTCAAAACCATCTCTTGCTATTTTGAATTCTATACATTTTTTAAAACTCTTTCTAAATCAATCCTGTATTGCTCGCTTGAAACAAACTTGCATACAAGACAAATATACACTCATTGTCACTTTCTATGTATGTGTGAATTACAGAGACCTGTTCTAAATATTCAACACTCTTCTGAATATTTGCAAACTTTGGTGATAAGGCCGCCAACAGGGAAAAATGCTATTTCAAAATTCAACTTAAAAAGCATTAATTGAATCTTCTAATAGCTTGGAATTCAAAATTGAGTAAGATATGGTCACCCCTTTAAGGAGCTCACCACCTAGGAAAGAAGTGTGCATCTCAAGTCATGAGGTAGGCATATTTAGTTTAGTTTTATTTGCTGAATGTCCCTTGAGTAACACGTGACTTAATAAATTCATTCCTTGCTCCAACATCTATTAAAATTTGTAGATTTTAATAGGTTTTAGGTAGCCTGCTATTTTTTAGATTATAGGTTTTAACAAATCTAATTATATTTCAGAGAGCTGAATGTAGAGATAGAGCTTGTTGCCCCCCCCCCCAAAAAAAAATAAATATTAAGGCCACTACCCAGAAATAACCCATTTAACTCACTCTAACTGGTCACCTCACTCTCAACAGCATATTCTAAAGAAAAATGTTACAGGAAATATATTTTGAATGTTCTTCTCAGTTCTCCTCCCCAGCCCTCCTTCTCTCCCGTACCTGCCCTTCTTTCTCAATAGTGAAAGGAGATGGCATTCTAAATTCAAAATTGTGTCGACCATTGAGAAATCTGACTGGGAAACGTAACTGGAATGAAATGGCTATAAGTTTAAAATTTGTAAACGGTATGAATAGGTATTAAATGGGGAAAAATGCCCACTTCTACTTTTAATACTGTTCACAACTTAGACTGATTTCGGGTGACATATCTCAGGTAAAAATCAACATTGCATATAGTACAAAATATTCACTGCATTTATAAACAAAATGTAACTCCATCCTTCATGTGACATTTGTACATTCTGACACTTCAACAGAGATATAAAATGCACAGGTATCTAAGAGACACTATACCCCATAATTTGTTATATTATTGTATAACAATAACATTTTAATGCTATATTTAATTGTGTGTTTAAGTTGCATTTATGAGGGTGCTTAGGAACATTATTTTTAATATATCACAACACTATGGTCTCTCAAATACTTCAGATTATTGCTGTTGACTATTGAGTAAAAGATCACGTTTGTCTTTCTTGCATTTCTACCTAGACATAATACTCTCCCTAAAGCTAAAATGACATGTGATTTTTGCTGCTTGATTATTATTAATGCTTTTTTCTAACCTGGAAGAGACAGCAACATGTTTTGGGCAGTAGCAGTTTGTTTGTTTGTTTGTTTGTTTGTTTGTTTGTTTGTCTAACCTAACAGAAATATTCTCCTTCGACACTGCTTCCACAAACATGGAAAGAAAAAAAGGGTACAACTTGAGAAGAAATTATTAAATGATGTATTTATAAAAACTTTGCAGTAGTTTGATATATGGTCATATGTTGTGAACAAACTCTGAGGTAGTCTGAAAGCTTGGGTCTACCATTCATGTTAAAATGACTCTCACATGTGCATAAAAAACATTCTGATAAAGGGCCGGCCTGGTGGCGCACTGGAGAGTGTTCCGCTTGGGAGCGTGGCGGCGCTCCCGCCAAGGGTTGGGATGCCATGTGGTGACCGGTTCCCGCTCACTGACTGAGCGTGGCGCGGGTGCAACACTGAGGGTTGCGATCCCATTGCCGGTCCCCGGTACAGGCACGACACCGAGGGTTGCAATCCCATTACCAGCCAGTAAAAAAGACAAAAAGGAAAAAAAAACATTCTGATAACAAACATCATGTAAAGAACTACAGGACATGTAGACCTTTTTCCCTCTGTTTTGTTTATCTTTCTTTATATTGCGTTTTCTTCTTTGGAAGCCTAATATTTAAATGTATATACACACGTCTAATCTTTGTCCATGCTGTTATTTCTTTGGCTCCTCCTACCTATGGAGTCTTCTAATTATTTGCTGTTAGTATAACTAAACCTTAAAATAAATTGATATTGAATACACCTGACTAGTGAAACACCTCCCTGTGACTCATACTTCATTTTATTTTAGCAGAATTCCAAAAAAGTTCGTAAAAATCTGGTGCCTCAGACTGAGCTCTGTAATGAGTGAGCATTACTGACTATTCCTAGTCTTTAGTTTTTGCTAATTGGGTAAACTTCACACATTATCTTCTGGTAGCTTGAGGCAAAATTTCTTTCTTACTTCAGCTTCTTTTTGGACTTAAAAATTTTTATGAGGCCTGATGTTGATCGGAACATGATCAGGGAAACTGAGTATGATCTCATATTAATCTCAGATTGTCTTCTATATTTTATTTCATATTTATTTATTCAAATAAATATGTGCACAGTTTTCATACACCATAAATATTTTGTAGTTGAATTTGTGCTTCATAAAAATGGGTCAAAGAGCAACATAGACCAGAAAGTGTCAGAAGGGATAGAGTCCAGTGTCAGGCCCCCCTAGCAAAACATCAAAAAGTCAGGACAAAGAAACAGGTCAGAAACTAAGGAGGCACAAAATGTACATATCAAAAGCACATGGGGAAGGACTTCTGTATTCAGTGCCAACATGTAAGGAGCTTGAAAGGTGTCAATGTTGTGCTTACAACAACAAAAAAGATGGACAAACTGAAAATCAATGACTTTTCTTAGACCTATCAGAGAACTGAGGTCTGAGGACAAACTGTCACCCCAACATCTAGAAAGACAGACACATCCAGAGAGATACACTGACCAATAGCTGCCTACATGGAGCCAAAGCACTGGGGCAATAAATTAGCAGAAACACTTAAATGGTTAAGTTGGATGAATTGCTGGCATCTGACTGTAGACTAACTACTATAAGTGAGAAACTCATGGGGGCTTTGGTCTTAGAGGGATTCCACACTTTTATGGCCTTTCTCTCCAGGAAACCTACCAGGTTCTTATCATGAAGATTCAAAAAAAGTCCTCTTGTGGCTCTGGCAAAAGAAAGTGAAGAACATCCACTGTGAAATAAGCTGAGAGCCTTCTCAGTG